CTGTTTCTTACCTTATGCATCCATATTTATATTGCCATACACCCTATACCAGGGGTAGGCAACCTTGGCTCTTTTATGACTCGTGGTCTTCAATTCCCAGAATTCCTGAGCCAGCTGTGCTGGCTCAGGAATTCTGGGAGTTGAAGTCCACGAGTCATAAAAGAGCCAAGGTTGCCTACCCCTGCCCTATACTATACCATCTGATCCTTGCAGTCTGCTGTTGATATGTCCATCTCTGTTCGGCATAGGAGTGCCTGTTATACTGTATTGGTTGTACTATTTTTATCTCTGTGATATAATAATACAAATACATGACAGCACCCAATAGTGAATTTCTCAATCTCCACCAGAGCTAGTAGAGATGAAGAATAGGAGGTAGGAAATTTATTTATTTTAAACTGCTGTGTTATATTTTCTTTCTTCTGCTGGATTCAGTCATTGTGCTGAGCTATGAATTTTAAAACTCTGTTTCCACCTGCACGAAGAAGTAAAGTCTACACCAAAAATGCAAAAGGAACATCAAGAGGGATCCATGTTTTAGAAACATGTCACATGGGCTACTGGATTGCATTGCCCCTTGGACATAATCTGAAGCACAACACAGAAGTCAAAATTTGGAGGGATTTGGTGTGGTTCACTGAGAATAAAGACCATCCATTTTATGAGTTCTACACTGCTTACAAGTTTCTTGACCTTGAGATCTAAAACTTGAGACCTAAGTATCTTAAGGAACACTTCCTCCAATCTATTTGAGCTTCAAAAACTTTCACTAAAGCTCTTCTCACCATGTCAGAGATTAGATTGATGGCAATAAAGAGAGACTTTACTGTCTGTTGTCCTAATGATGGAATTCTTTACAGTGGTACATCTTAAGGTGCTGAGTGAATATAAATTTATTATGGCAGGCATTTCAATTATTTGCGTTTTAAAGAACTGGAAGGATGCTACATTTTAAGCAGTGCTGTTTAAATGAATAATTCTGTTATTGATATTAACTGAGCTACTATATTAGGGATAGTGCTGTAGGTTTTGTTTAATTGCATAGTAAATTGTCCTTGGACAGAAGTGGAGGTTACAGGTAAATATACCTTTAATGATGTGAACTAGACAAAAATACAACTGGAGTAGCTTAACAACTGTGGCAAAAAAAGGTGATAAAATTAGGTGTGACTCATTTAATGACTCCATTGCTTAGCAACAGACATTCTAGTCCCAATTGTGGTTATAAATTGAGGACTATCTGTATAACTACCTTTTGTGCTTCTAGCTCTGGTTATAAGAGCCACTCTAATTCTTTTCACTATCATCACAAATTTTCCTAGCCCCCCCCCCGATCTCAAAGTAGCAATCCTGACACAGAAGGATCTCAGTTCTTCCAACACAATTTATTGATCTCATTTTACTCACATTCACATATTTCATTGAGCCACTTGTTTTAATGCTAACTAACCAATTTGTGATGCATATCTTTCAATTGCTTCCTGCTGCACAAGCAGAGAACCAACTTGGTTTTTTATTATCAAAAGAGTTAGTGTGATTCTGGGATCGTGAAACTATGCCCAAATTTATATGTGATTTAACAACCACGTTGGCCGGGTTCTCATAACACGTTAAGCCAAAATTAGATAAGCCGTAGCAAAGTTGTGGTACACTATATTCCTGAATTAAACACAAAGTCATAAAGAGGACTCTTCAGTTTTGGCTTCATATGCTGACTTGGAATTCTGCTGGTTGTAGCTCCAGCATACCCGGAGGGCATCAGATGGGGAAAGGATGGTTTGTTTTGGCAACTAGTCTTTAGGGTCTGAGGCAGATATATTTCCTGTTGACATTTTTCGTCAGCAATGGCCAGTACTGAATCTGGTGTGGCATGCAAATAATGGGTTCTGTAACTACACTGTGGTCTCTCCACACAGCCATTAAATGCAGTGAAGCAAAAAAGTCTCATGGTAGCAAGGACGGTGGGATTTTCCTCCTTTTAGCCAAACAAACATCTGTGAGGGTTTTGAGCCCAAAATCTGGCTATGTGGTTCTATGGAATTTAGTTACTAATAGCATATTCTCCTCTACTAAACAAGAGACAAAGCTAAGCCATTTCTATTAAGAAAAAATAAAAGGGAACTGAGTTCTATAACCAGAGAACTGACAAAAATACACATGCCAACAGCTAAGAAGTTGCTCATTCAAAAAACGCGAAGGTTATCTTTGCAGGGTAAATGACAAGTGATGCAAATGTTTTGCTACCAGCATTAGTCCAGGCACATCAGGGTTGCTTTTCATAGACTGCTTCTTATCAGGCAGCATATCATTTAAAGCGTGGCATTCCACGATATGTGCCTAACAAAGAGGCCATTTAAGACTCAGCTCTGCTTGTGCTAATCTTCCAAAACTGAGAAGGGAGACATATCGCAGCACTGTTCGGGTGTTTGACTTAACACTGGAGAGCTGGATCCAATAGACTAATGCAGAACAGCGACAGTCCAAGAGAAGGGCTTATTACCACTGTTTCTGCTGAGAAACAAAAGACATTTTTAAGCAGGATCAGATAAGGAACAGAATCTGAATCCACCTACTCCGTATATGAAAAAGTGAGATTAGCACCTGGGCTGAAAAATAAGCAGAAAAGGATGGCAGGAGACTTTATCTCAAACAGAAAATGGGAAGGTCACAATGAGTGCATCCAGACAAGCTTCATTAAGTTCCCATTTCAGAATTATGAAACAAGCAAATTTGAAATGTACACCTCCTACACACACACAACACACACAACACACACGCACACACATAGAGAAAGAAAGAGAGAGAGAGAGAGAGAGAGAGAGAGAGAGAGAGAGCTACAACTCTGAACAACGATGTCTGAAAGCAGTGACAGCTTCTTCATAATGCCAAGCTTAGGGTACATTAAACTTTAAATGAGAGGCAAATTCCTGCATTAATTTTATCAAGGGATTCACAAGCAGGAGAAGGGAAGCCACAACTGGAATAAGCACACTAAGGACAGACAGCGGCAACCTAGCTCCATATTCAATTAAAGATTTTCAAAATGAACTATTTATAGCAATAATACTGCACATGAGGAACTACATCACTTGTCATCCTCAAAAGTTCAAAACATTCTCATGCTTTCGGATTTATACATCCATCCATCCATCCCTTTTAGATAACATTGGCTCAAAAAAACCCAGAGCATTATTTCTTGGTTGATAGTGGACCAGAAAATTCAAACCACAATTATCATAAACCAAGAAGCTGAGACTCTTTAGAGTCCGTTGATAACAACTTAAAACAACCTAAACTTAGCAAAGAACTGCTGACTTGAAGACTACTAAAGAAAGTATCCCTCCTTAAGCACAGTCTCCTAAAACAGTTGTCCTAGGCACATCCACACCCTCAGCTTTAGACCTACTTTGTGTTCCTGTAATTAGGTCCCCAAAATAATGAAGATAAGCTCTTCTTGGAACAAGTAGCTTTTGGAAAATCTAGGAATGTAAGGGAATATTTTTCGAAGAAGCATCCAGGCTATCCTTCTACCATTAAAGCAGAGTTAGTATGCTGCCAATAAACACCAGTGAATCTATAAACATTTTATTTGATATCTGCCAGGTGGTCCCTACTCCAACTTTTAATTTCAATTTTTAATTGAAAATGGAAAGTTGTCATGCTACAAAGAAAAGTATAACCTACAGCATCTTATTTTCAAGGTCCCCCAAAGGCCCAATTGGCATTTAACAAAACAAAATAAAATGAGGATAGAGGGAATTGGTTCAGTGTTATATGTGGAAAAGTGTCCACTTACCTACAAAAAAACCAAAGATACATTGGAGTGATATACGCAGAATCCTATATAGCTAGAACTGGTTTTATAGTAAATGGATGATGTATGACAGGCTATATTCAGTCCAGTAGCCATTTTGTGAATAAGTGCCCCAAAAATAGCTGTTTGGGGAGGAGACTTATGAAATGCTCTCAAAATTCCAAATGTGCTCAGAAGAACAAAAATACAGCAAACTATTAATTGATAATAACAATAATAGCAATGATTATTAACAGCAGTAGTATATACCACTATTCATACCCACAGCACTTTACAGAAACCTGAGTCTACTCTAAAAAGTTTACAAGATAAAAATTGATTATAAACATTATAAAGCAGGAAATCTTTGGATAGCTGGAAAAGTAAAAATCATAAGCAGAGAAGTATCAGAAGAAAAAAATATTTCCAGCTGACAACTATTATTCATTTCATTCCCATTATTTTGAAACAAAATAATCACATAAATATAAATTAATTCCTATGGAGACTTGGAAAAGGAAAAAGAACAATTACCCAGTTTAAAGATATTTAGAATAGTCATTTAATTATAGTATCAGTTTTCAATATATTTTGTGTTACTTATGGTTGTGAGCCTGTTTTTTGAAAAATTAAGTCAATCAATTTCTTTGTTTCCTTCTATTAATTGATCTCAATAATATAGCATAAAAGGCTCTTAGTTATTCTAATAGTTTATGTCAAGGAGAATCACAAACCACATATTGTTATGGAAATAATGTTGAATGACATGTTTGAATCAGAGGTACAAAGAATGGTTTACCCCAGCATCTACACAGAAACTCTTTCATAGGGTCTAATTAAAATTTAACTGCCATAGTTTCAAACAAGCAACCAGTTGATAATGTTGACGAATTCCTGCAACTATAAATTTAACTATTTCTAATTTCACAAATATATTAGTTTTTAATATGGTATTCATAGTCACATATATTCAACTTTCTTGGATTATTTTAAAGGGGTTATTTTAAAGTATTTATCAGAGGTAACCTTTTGCAGACCTGAGTCCACTTCTTGAGATGGACAGAGTCTGACCTTTAAGTTGATAGTATCACAAAAGTCTGTGGATTTTTGTTCTTCAAAAATAATTTTAATTTGGAAACCAAACAGTCATGATCTCATTGTTCCTTTAAACTGTATTTGAGAAAGTTTAACTCATAAGTCCACTTACCAAGCAAGGAGAGCCAACATTACCACCAGAAAAGTCAGTGTGGCTGTTGTAACATTAGCCTCAATAAAGTCGAGCCTCAAGACATCTGTAAGTCCCATTGTCTTCTGCTGGAGAGGCACTCTAGTCAAACAGGCAGAAAAAAAGGATGTTTCATTATTTAGGAGGTGACAGACTTCCAACCGTTAATACAAATGACAAGCTACAGCAAAAGAGGAACCAAGGAAGTTAAGTTACGTCAAAGTCACTCCAAAACCAAACACCAACTTTTCCTGTTCTTGCAGCTTTAGATAGACAGAATCAAGGGTTTCCTGCATTGGTAGGCCAAGACAATGCTCTTCCAATCCTCCCTTCAACATTAACAACTACAGCAGCAATAAATATTTACATAAGTGCTGGCTGATATCACAGAGCTGGCATGTAGAGATGAATAAAGGATAAGAATGAACTAACCTGGTATAGATTTCAAAGCCCAGAGGGCAGTGGGTAAAAAATAATCAATGAGTTCTTCATCTCTGTTTAATAGAAAATATCTTACACAACATGAAGACTGTGGCCTTGCATTCTTGATTAATAGCAATACTGCTGGACAGACAGCTCTAGAAATAGGCTATCCAAAGACTTAAGCAAATTTTGAATGAGCCAAATTGCTTTTTGCAGACTTGTCAATATCTCTTTTCGCACCTGCACCTAAGTGGAGCAGAAATATCCCTGGCCATATCTGGCTTCCACTGTGTCTTTGTGGCATTCTCTTCATCTCATTCCTAAACTATGAAGACCACCTTCAGTCATTTTTTTATGGCTTTTCCCTCTAACAGCACCCATCAATAGCATCCATTAACAAGGTTTGTAAAATCTGTGACACTTTGCCACTTTTTATTCCGGAGATAAAATCTGATGATCAATAGTGGAAAGGAACAAAATATTGGTTTTTTCAGGCTGACAGTGGAGCTTTTTTTTGTTTTTGTTTTTTTCTTTCTTCCAGTCCATAGTGTGTCTCATCTGCTGCCATTCTGCTGTTGTCTCTTTAAAGAGCCAGACACAACAATGATGCACTGGTAGTCGTTCAGGTCTATGCAATAGTGCTACACTGATCATCCAGTAACTCTACAGTTTAGTGCAAGGTTGAAGCAACGTATCATGAAATGCGGGAACCAACCCAATTCCCCCTCTAAATGTTCCCCAATAGAGTGTGGAGGAAACTGGATTTCAGCATTTATTGCTTATTTAAAGAAAGAAAAGAATTCTACCTAAAAATGCTGCTTCTGATTCAGCTTGCTCTATGACTTTGGTCTTTTTTTTAAAAATATTCAGTTCAGTTTTCAACAAAATAGGGTAGAGGAGCCAGAGGACTAAGAAGAGTTTGGAGATGATACCAGTTCTGCACCCACACATGCACTGCACTGCCGCATTGCCTAGATTAGCAAATGTCTTTCCTGACAGCCAGTGATGTGCAGAAGAGGGAGGATGTGAATTAATCGCTTTGCTTATCACATGTTCACATGCACAGACAGGACAGCACCATTCAGTAGTGAATGAGAACAAAGCAACTAAGGGAGAATAGTGATCAGCACCCAGGCAGCAAATGTCACAGTTTTCTGCTGAATCAAGGATTGATAGTACTTTTAATGCAGTAGTAGGGAAATGACCTACATTAAAAATCACCTCTAGAAATGAAAACAAAAAAATAGGTCTTTGTGGAAGTACCATGCTTGGCATCCAAAGAGAAGGTTAGCTAACATGTAAACATGTCCTCCACTGAGTAGATCACTGATTCATTCTAGTTCAGCACTAAATTATTTGAGTGGAAATAACCATCTACCCTTTAAGTCTTTTTCAAAAGCCTGAAAAAGTTAAAAACTAGCAGCACTGGAGATTAAATTTGGGAATATGCAATTGGCATCAAATGGTACTATTGTGGCACTCAATTTATAGAAACTTAAGGAAATCCCCCATCAGAAAGGGCATATTCCAACTCTACTGCTATCAAGATATATGTTGAAACCTAATTATTCATGCCACCCTTTGATTTCTCTCAGCTAATGGTTTGTGTTTTATACATTTTAATATTATTTGATGTGTTTTACTGCACATTCCCTGACCATTCATAACACAACAGACGAGGGATCCCCAACCCCCTGTCTGTGGACCGGTACTGGGCTGCTGCATGCCAGCAACCGGTCCACACAAACAAGCAAAGCCACATCTGCAGGATGCAGGCAGCACACAAAACCACGCCCCCTCCAGTCCAGAAAAACCTCTCCACTTAACCGGTCCCTGGTGCCCCAAAGGTTGGGGACCTCTGCAATAGACTTTGCACAAATAAGAAGTCATATAATTCATCACATACATCTGTTGAAGACTATGAGAACAGAACGCTGGATTACATACTGTATGCTCACTAAATCACCAATATAACAGAAGTCACTCCTAAGAAGACTGGTCCATACAATAGCCAAACTAGAGTTTACCCTCTGTTCTAAAAAAGGCATGCAGTGCCTTGCCTGTGTATTCCACAGATTTAAGTAAAAAGATCAATGAGTTCACTAGCAGCTTTGCAAAGCATTTCACACATCCAATGTGTTGTGCCTGTGTTTACAGCATTAATAGCACCAACACTTCCAACTGCAAATCTAAATCAATAAATGCATTGCCACATCACTCTGGTCCAGCAAGCACCTGCTTCAAAACAGGAAAATTGCAATCAACCAGCTCTTCCCTATCGAGTGATTGGACTGTTCTCCTCAAGTCAGTGTCAATATTTTTTTTAGCGTATCCTTTGCCAGCACTATTTGATTCTAAATGAACAACCCATGTCATGCAAAAAGCAGTAGTTACAGCAAGCAGGATACAGGAAATCTTGAACTTATGAGGTTGCTTTGCATTCTGCCAAAGCATTTGGCATGTTGATCCCACCACTGGCAGCTCTGACTGGCAGCAGCTCTCTAGGGTTTCAAGAAGGCAATTTTCCCAGGTTCTGGTACTTGAGATTATAAAGAAATTAGCCATTGTCAGAGGTTAGGATCAGGGCATCATGCAAGGCACCCCTTGGGAGATAAATTGTGGCAGCAAGAATTACCAAGCTGCTACAGCAAGAAGGAAGCAGGGCCAGGATATACAAAGACCCAGAGAGCTTCTAGAAGAGTGCTTCTCAACCTCAACAACTTTAAAATGTGTGGACTTCAACTCCCAGAATTCCCAAGCCAGCATGTGTTGAATCCCACACATCTTAAAATTGCTGAAGTTGAGAAACATAGGGAGAGATCTTTGAAACTGCCAGCTTTCCATATTACAAGTTTGGCTAGACAGCTATAAATGCAAAAAACAAAAACAAAAAACACACACACCCAGTTTTTTAATATTTGGAAGAGCTAGGTGAGCAGAGAAAAATGTTTAGAGGGTAAAATATTGTTCCTTAAGTACTTTCCTGTTGAACAGAGGTCTTTTCACAGGTTTATTTCCCTTTCCAACAATTCCTCCTCGTCTACAGAATTTCTCTAGAAGCACCAACTGGAACTTCTGAATTATATAAAAAGAAAGCGCAACATATCCAAAGATAAATTTTAGCTTGACTAGGTGCTTTACTAAGAAACAGAACTGGAATTTAAGAGAATTGGGAGCCCAGTCCTTATCTCAATAATACAATTTTGTGATTTTATATTAAAAAAAAATATTTGAGGACTACAGTTTCTTTATGGCAATGTGCAGTGCTTCACCAACTTTAAAGTCATAAGCAAGTTGTGAGTCACTGCACCTGAGGCCCTTCCTGGTCCACAATCTCAATGGGAAACCTTTACACTGATGCTTTTTTCTGCTTCTTTCCTTCTCCTGCAAATATGAAAGTATGTGGAATTTCTGAATAGCTATTTAAAAAGAAAATACCATAAAGTCAACACTTTAGTCTCATCAAACTGAGATTAACTTCAGAAAATGTACAAGAGCCTCCCAATGTTAACCTAGTTAGCTAAACTAAGGAGAAGAATGCTAATTCTAAGTCCAAAACACATTTACCTGCAAATGAAGAACTTCTTAATTATATTGGAGGAAATTAATTTGACAGCATTTTTTTAGGAAGAGATTACTCCATTAGTGCCAGTTGGCATTTTCTCACAGTGCCAACAATGCTTTCAGAAGAGAACTTCCCCTCTCTTGCAAAAAAGGGGGGGAAAGGGGGGGGAAAGGATGGATTAAATTACCCTCACCCTTTATATGCAAACTCAGTACATCAGCCCTAATATGATACTATCGGCATTAAATTTCTAAGCCTGCCTTATCCAACCAGAATTCACCCATCTGATTTGCATATCCTGAGAATAGAATAGAATAGAATAGAATAGAATAGAATAGAAATCTGGAAGGGACCTTGGAGGTCTTCTATTCCAGTCCCCCACTCAAGCAGGAGAACCTATACTATCTCAGACAAGTAGCTGACCAGTCTCTTCTTTAAAACTTCCAGCGATGGAGTGCCCACAATTTCTGAAGGCAAGCTGTTCCACTGGTTAATTGTCCTCACTGTTAGGAACTTTTTCCTTAATTCCAGGTTGTTTCTCTCTTTGATCAGTTTCTAACCATTGTTTCTTATCCTGCCCTCTGGTGCTTTGGAGAATAATTTGACCCTCTCTTCTTTGTGGCAGCCTCTCAAATACTGGTATACTGCTATCATGTTACCCCTATTTCTTCTTTTCTTTAGACTAGCCAAACCCAAGTCCTGCAGCCGTTCTTCATATGTTTTAGTCTCCAAGCCTTGGATCATCTTAGTTGCTCTTCTCTGAACTTTTTCCAAGGTCTCAACGTCTTTTTTGTAGTAGACCAAAATTGGTTGCAGTATTCCAGGTGTGGTCTCACTAGGGTTTTATAAAGCGGTACTAATACTTCAAGTGATCTTGATTCTATGCCTCTGTTTATACAACCCAGGATTCTATTTTTGGCTGCTGCTGCACATTGCTGGCATATAGTCAAGTGATCTTCCACTAGGACTCCAAGGTCCCTCTCACAGTTACTGTTTTTGAGCCAGGTTTCACTTAATCTGTACTTATATCTTTGATTTTTCCTGCCCAAATGTAAAACTTTGCTTTTCTCCACATTAAAACTCATTTTGTTGGGTAGGGCCCATTGTTCCAGTT